CCCCTCCAGAGTTGAAAGAGTTGAAGGAGCAATTGCAAGATTTGCTCGATAAGGGCTTTATTAGACCCAATGTCTCACCTTGGGGCGTGCTGGTGTTGTTTGTAAAGAAGAAGGATGGATCGATGATGATGTGTATAGATTATCGGCAGTTGAACAATGTCACTATTAAAACAAGTATCCACTGCCGAGGATTGATGACTTATTTGATCAGCTTTAGGGTGCTAAGGTGTTTTTAAAGATTGATTTGAGGTCTGGCTACCATCACTTGAGGATTAGGGCATCCGATGTCCCTAAGACAACTTTTCGGACTCGGTTTGGGCATTATGAGTTTCTAGTGATGTCATTTGGGCTGAAATATTCCCCAGCAACATTTATGGATGTGATGAACCGATTTTTCAAGCCTTATCTGGATTCCTTTGTTATTGTTTTTATTGATGATATCTTGATCTACTCCCGTAGTCGAGAGGAGCATGAGCAGCATCTTCAGATCGTTCTTCAGACTCTGAGAGACAGCCAGTTATATGCTAAGTTTTCGAAATATGAGTTTTGGTTGAGTTCAGTTGCTTCCTCCGGTCACGTCGTATCAGCAGAGGGTATTCAGGTGGATCCTAAGAAGATTGAGGCCGTTCAGAATTGGCCTAGACCTACATCAGCTACAGAGATCCGAAGTTTCTTGGGATTGGCAGGTTATTACCGTCGACTTGTGGAGGGGTTTTCATCTATAGCAGCCCCGATGACCAGGTTGACCCTAAAGGGTGCCTTGTTCAGACGGTCAGATGAGTGTGAGGCGAGCTTTCAGAAGCTCAAGACAACTTTGACTACGACGCCGGTGTTGGTGTTGCCCACAGGTTCAGGACCCTCTATAGTATATTGTGACGCATCTCGTACTGGAATTGGTGCGGTATTGATGCAGGGTGGCAAGGTTATTGCATATGCTTCATGGCAACTGAAGATTCACGAGAAAAAATATCCAGTTCATGACTTGGAGCTGGCAGCCATTGTTCACGCGCTGAAGATTTGGAGGCACTATCTATATAGCATGTCGTGCGAGGTGTTCACAGATCATAAGAGTTTGCAGTACTTGTTCAAGAAAAAGGAGCTCAACTTGAGGTAGAGGAGGTGGTTGGAGCTATTGAAAGACTATGATATCACTATCTTGTATCAGGAAGGCCAATGTAGTGGTCGATGCTTTGAGTAGAAAGTCAGCTTGTATGAGCAGTCTTGCGTACATTCCAGTCGGTGAGAGACTGCTTGCATTAGATATTCAAGCCTTAGCCAATCAGTTCGTGAGGTTGGATGTTTCTGAGCCCAGTCGCGTTTTAGCTTGTACAGGCGCTCGGTCTTCCTTGTTGAGCGTATCAGGGAGTGGCAATATGATGACCCTCATTTGCTTGTCCTTATAGACACAGTGCGGCGCAGTGATGCAAAGTAGGTTACGGTTGGAGATGATGGAGTTTTGAGGATGCAGGGTCGTGTTTGTGTGCCTAATGTGGATGGGCTTCGTGAGTTGATTCTAGAGGAGGCCCATAGTTCCCGGTATTCTATTCATCCGGGCGCCACCAAGATGTATCAGGACTTGCGGCAGCATTATTGGTGGAGGAAGATGAAGAAAGATATTGTTGCATATTTAGCTCGGTGTCTAAATTGTCAGCAAGTAAAGTACGATCATCAAAAACTTGGCGGTTTGCTTCAGAAGATAGAGATTCCTGAGTGGAAGTGGGAGCGTATCACTATGGATTTCGTTTTTGGGCTCCCATGGACTCAGAGGAAGTTCGACACAGTTTGGGTTATTGTGGATAGGCTGACTAAGTCAGCGCATTTCATTCATGTGGTAGTTTCCTATTCTTCGGAGAGTTGGGCCGAGATTTATATTCGTGAGATTATTTGTCTTCATGGTGTGCCCGTGTTTATCATTTTTGATCGAGGTACGCATTTTACCTCACATTTATGGAGGGCAGTACATCGTGAGTTGGGTACACGGGTCGAGTTGAGCATAACATTTCATCCTCAGACAGACGGCAGCCCGAGCGTACCATTCAGATCTTGGAGGATATGCTCCGCGCATATGTTATTGACTTTAGAGGTTCTTGGGATCACTACTTGCCGTTAGTGGAGTTTGACTACAAAAACAACTATCAGTCGGGCATCCAGATAGCTCCCTATGAGGCATTATATGGTACACGGTGTCGATCGTCGGTTGGGTGGTTTGAGCTGGGGGAGGCTCGGTTGTTGGGTACAGATTTAGTACAGGATGCCTTGGATAAGGTTAAGATTATTTAGGATAGGCTCTGTACAGCTCAGTCCAGGAAAAAGAGTTATGCCGACCGTAAGGTTCGTGATATAGCATTCATGGTCGGAAAGAGAGTGTTGCTTCGGGTGTTGCCCATGAAGGGCGTAATGAGGTTTAGAAAGAAGGGCAAGCTAAGTCGTAGGTTCATTGGGCCTTTTGAGATTCTTGATCGAGTGGGAGAGGTGGCCCATAGACTTTTATTGGCACCAGGCTTCTCAGCGGTACATCCATTGTTTCATGTGTCCATGCTTCGGAAGTATCACGGCGATCCATCCCATGTGTTGGATTTTAGCACTATCCAGTTGGACATGGATTTGACCTACGAGGATGAGCCGGTAGCTATTTAGACCGGCAGGTTCGTCAGTTGAGATCGAACAGTTATCCTTTGGTTCGAGGACGAATGATGGTTTTAGAGGTGGAGAATGTGATGACCCAAAAGGTCATCTTATATTCTAGAACTCGATTCCGTATTCCGAGGCCTTTAAAACCTTATTTTATTCCTCCTCGATTTGTGTGCGCCGTCTGGGCGCGTTTCCGGAAAACTTTTATGTGGAAATTTGAGACAAATAATAATTTTTACCTCTAAAAGTTAATTTTGGTTGACTTCAGTCAACGTTTAGAGTAAATGGAGCCGGACCTGTGTTTTGACGGTCCCGGTAGGGCCGTAGTAAAATATGGGACCTGGGCATATGTCCGGAATCAGATTCGGAGGTGCCTAGCCTGAGTAATGAATTTTTGTTAAAAATTATAAGTCTGAAAATCTAATGATTTGAAAAAATTGATTAATGTTTGATCTCATTGGTATCAGGCCCGTATTTTGGTTCCAGAGCCTGGTACATGTTTAATATAATATTTAAACCATGTCTGTGAAATTTGGTGAAAAACGAAGTTGATTTCACGTGATTAGCGTCCGGTTGTAAAAATAGGAATTTCAAAGTGTTCTTAAGAATTTCATGTGTTTTTGTGTTAAATCCGTAGTTTTAGATGTTATTTTGACGATTTGATTACACGAGCAAGTTCGTATGATGTTTTAAGACTTGTGTGCATGTTTGGTTTGGAGCCCCGAGGACTCGGGTGAGTTTCAGATAGGCTACAGAGTGTTTTGGAACTTAGAAAATTTTGCTGGTTTGACTGAACTAGATCCGCATCTGCTTCCAAATCCTTTTACCTTCTTATTCTGTTGTTGGCAGAAAAGCAAAGCTAATTAATAAGTCAATCCCATTTTATCGTTATCACGTTTCATTTTAAGAGGACGTACATTCTAGGGGAAACACATAAACGGCCCCTTCAAGTTGTCCTCAACGGTCAGTCAGACACCTCAACTGACCCGTTTATCATTTTAAGACTTCTTCTCCACTAAAGTACGACCTCGTGAACCCTTCACGCTGACATGGCAAAGTGTGTGCTTTATAATTAATTCTAAGCGAGTGAAACCCTCAAAATTAAGGTTTTTTTTCTTTTTTCTTTTAAATTTAACTTTATTTTATGTGGGTCCCACTATATTTTATTTTTCACACATTAATTTCACTTTCTTCCCAAAATATTCCATCTTCATCAAACCTCTTCCTTCCGCCATCAATTCACTCCCTCTTCTTCAAGAACAATTATTACCAATAGTGATGTAAAAGCTTACATCAATGGATCTAGGTTCAATTTTTGCAGTGGAACCTGGTTCAACAATGGAACCTGGTTGAATTTTGCGTGCCTAAGCAAAAGATAGAAACAATGGAACCTGGTTCGGCTTTTGTAGTGATTCAAGCAGCTACAAGACCTGAAGGCGAATCGCGAATCTTGTCGAAAATGCCTATTTCCATCATCCCCTTCCAAACCTCAAAATTCTGAAACCCTAGCCTTAAATGTGAAAGGCCCCGAATTGCTCGTCTTTGCTTCAAATATTGGCTCGATACAAATTTCACAGGTGAAATTTTGATGTTCATTTGGTAATTCTGTCACTGCAATTTTTTGTGCTTGGTTTTGTTCTGAATTATTTCGGCCATGTTTTTGCAGCATGTTTCCCATTATTAGTGTGAGTGGTGTGTTTGATTTTTTTTTTGGTTGCAATATCCCTCTTCTGCAAAATAGTTGCTGAAGAAAACTGGAGATGAGGAGGAAGGGATGGCGGTGATTCATAGAGATGGTGATTAAAGGAGCTTTTTCCATAATTATTGTTCTTCTTTCTTTTTTAAATTATTATTATTGCTTTTTTTTTTAAATTTTATAATAAGTGGCAATTTTTTTAATTAAAATTACACATGGTATTTTGTCATTTGTTCGTTTGACATGAATCCGAGAGTGTATTTTACGCGAGGTGGGTTGATGAGGTCGGGTGTTTAATTGACCTACTTTATTGAAGGCTTGAAGTGTCCAACTGAAAATGGGATCAGTTGAGGTGTCTGGCTGACCGTTGAGGACAACTTGAAGGGGTCGTTTATGTCACTACAACAAAATTGGCCTAAGACAACACTTATTACAGGCAACACTTGAAAAATGTTGGCAAAAATAGTAATTAGGAACACTTTTGTAAGGGTGGCCTTTGATAAGTGCTTTCGGCAACGGTATTTGGGCAACACCGGTAAAGTGTGCTCTTTATGCGCAAAGACTACACACTGTAAGTGTTACCTAATGTTAAAATTTTTTAGAACGCTTATTCAGATATTAAGCAACGTTTTACAAGCGTTATCCTTGGTACTTTAAAAGTAGCGCAGTGCAAACGAGGCCTAAAGTAAAAAATTCGCACCAAAATTTCCAACTTAAACTATTCCCTATGAAATTTCCCACTTTCCCTCTAAAACATTTCACTAAAAGTCTAAGTGATTCCAGTTAACCCTATTTCTCTAGGGTTTGAAACCCACAGCCTACTTCACTCAATTTTCAAAAAATAGTACAGTCCATTGCACCCATTCTTCGTCAAAAAAGGGAAAGAAGAAAATGATTGCACCCAATCGGTTACGCTCTTCAAAAGCAGGAGATCTGATTTACTTTATTTGATTCCTCCAAAGATCTAAGTTACACGGTCAATTTGTCAATACAACAAGAAAGGTACGACATTCAGGATTTCTCGATTTCTTTTGAGATCAAAGTCAGTAATGATTATCCATATACAGTATGGATTTAATCAAAAATTTATAGTATTTGGATTTTCTTCTGAATATAGAGTAAATAAATTTCTCAGGGAATTTTTGATACTATCCTTTTCTTATGAATTTGGGAAAAACTTGAGCTAAAAGAATTGTAGATCTTTTAGTATATATGTATTTGGACAGATCATTTGTGGGTTTAGCATGAGAGGTTTGAAATCATTATATTAGAACTTTCAAAAAAAAGTTAATTTTGTTTTCTTTGTTCTGGGAAATGAAGGATGAGTAGGGGATTGTCGGGTATTCGAACTGTCCACTTAAATGATAAAATGCTAAGAAACTCACAAATTTAGCTACACCATAGTACTTTGATGAAACTCAACTTGATTGACTTGAATAAAACAAAAAGCTTCTATTTTTGTTGAAGAACTCAATCGTTTTGAGACTACACAAATTATTTAATCGTATCGGAGACATTCAGCAAAATGATTACAAGTTTGGATTTAATATTGTGATCAATAAGAGTGCTATAGGAAATTTTAAGTATAATATTAGTGAGAGGAAGAACGAACTGAACAAAGTGGCATCAGATAAAATATCTTGACTTGTAGGTAGAATGGGCGTATACTATTACTGTCTCTGAGTGAAAAAGAAGTGAAAGTAGTATTATGGTCCTATAGTTAATTACTTCTTCCTGAATTATGTATACGTCTGACTTATAATACCCTTGAAGCTTTTTTATAGAATTTGATTGCCTTCTGTCTTATTTGCCTAGAACTAGAAATTTTAAATATTGTTGAGTTTGTCATTTTCATGTTTTCATGCGTTTCGATCATTTCTTGCCCAAAATTATGTATTTGTCTGTAGATTGACATTATTCTCTTTAAAATTTTATGTTTAATTATTTTACAACATTCATTAAGCAAAGAAACTACATACAATTATTAGTTTCTATTGTAGTATAGTGACTGTTGCTCTCATGTATCATTACAGTTTAGTCACAGAGTGAAGGAATTATCGGCCTCCCCTCTCCCCTAAAAAACAAAAACCTTCTTTATTGGAACTATATGATTTACCTCTTTTTATGTAAAAAAGATTCTGTATGCTGTCGACGCCCCCTTTTTCCCAAAAAATCGGGTTTACGACATTTTTTTGAAAAGACAACTCTATTCCCGTTTGGGAATTGGGTTTTGAAATTGAAGAGTCGCCACCTAATGATTATAGTGCATTAGGACACTTTAAAAGAATTTGAGATGAACCAGAGTTCGGGTAAGGGCTAGAAATTATCTCGAGGGGAAGGTGTTAGTCACCCCTCAAAATCCACTAGTGTGGTTCCCGGTCATGTTACAATTGTGACTTTAAGTGCAAGCAAGAATTACAAATACGAGGGGATTTTCATATAATAGTTGAAAACAATTTGAAATTAAACGAAGTTAAAGAGGCTGAAATTTGGCGAAGAAAGTAGTTTTAAAATTCAGAATAAACGAGTGAAAAGAGGGAGAAATTTTACATAATTGCTGGAAGTAGCAGTTAAAGAAGCTGAAATTTGAGAAAAAGCAGTTTTCGAAATAAACAAGTAAAAAGATAAAGGGGAGAGGGGGTCCTATGTTTATAAATAATATGGATCACCCCACACAATAATTGTGCCTCTGTATCATGATGTCTTTGAATAATGCAGTGCAGGATATAAAGTGGGGTCCTCGGGCCATGGCATGGTGTTCTCGGGCTATGAAGATGATGCCTTCGAACAATGACACCCTCGGATGGTTTGACGGTATTTCAGCCCATGAAATGAAAGATTTGGCGGTATTTTAGCCGATGTAAAAAAATGTGTAAATGGCGATATTTCGGCCGACAGAAATTTTAAATAAAGCACCGATGTTTCAGCTAATGCGAAAAATGTAAATGGCGATATTTCAGCCGACAGAAATTTAAATAAAGCAGCGACGTTTCAGTTGATGCAAAAAAAATTTAAATGGCGATATTTTAGCCGACAGAAATTTAAATAAAGCAGCGACGTTTCATTGATGCAAAAAAAATGTAAATGGTGATATTTCAGCCGATACCGAGAATAAAGTTGGCGATATTTCAGCCGGTAAAGAAGGGTGATTATAAATGGCGACGTTTCAGCCGATTGGGATTTAAACAAACATTGGCGGTTTTTAGCCATGCAAGATTTGTATGAAGATGGCGGTATTTCAGCCGATGCAAATAGAGGTGGCGATATTTCAGCCATGCAGATGGAGACAGCGCTTAGTCTCGAAAGGCAGAAAGGTAGCCTTATGCAATGCAAGAAAATGCAGGATGGAGACAGTGCTTAGTCTCGAAAGGCAGAAAGGTAGCCTTATGCAATGCAAGAAAATGCAGGATGGAGATAGTGCTTAGTCTCGAAAGGCAGAAAGGTAGCCTTATGCAATGCAGATAGATGGAGACAATGCTTAGTCTCGAAAGGCAGAAAGGTAGCCTTATGCAATGCGGATAATGCAGATGGAGACAGTGCTTAGTCTCGAAAGGCGGAAAGGTAGCCTTATGCAATGCGAGAATGTAAAAGGACGAGTAGTAGTGAGACTTTTTAGCTGATAGTTGATATCATGACTGCTGGGAAGGTTGTGTATGGATAGCAATTACGAACAAGTGATGATTCTGAGAGGTTGCGTTCTTGAGAAAGTATGCGTGCATAAATATACCTGACGATATTGTTAGTCTGGTGCCTGCATCCAAAGAAAAATCGTGAGTTTTGTAAAGGGGAAAGGCTAGTTCGTTTTCCCCTGGCTTCCGGCGTGCGTATCATTGGGGTAGCATTGCTAAACAGCAGCAATTCGAACAATACTTATGCATGATTTAGTAAATATAACGTAAGTAGAAAATAGTTTTCTTTAGATGAACCAACGACTGCGATGTGGTTCAAGACATTGCAACCTTTCTTACTCTGGAATTTTGAGGGTCCTCCTCAAAATTCTGCCCCAGTTTACTGGGCTGGCGCTTCTAACGGCTGCGCTGAACGGCTAAAAAAAATCAACTTCGGAATTTTGAGGGTCCTCCTCAAAATTTTGCCCCAGTTTACTGAGGTGACATTCCTGACGATGAATGGCTGAAAACTAACTTCAGAATTTTGAGGGTCCTCCTCAAAATTCTGCCCCAGTTCCAATAGTAGGGAGGAAAAATGGAATTTTTATTAAATTGTGACCGAACCTATGGGGATGCCTACGTATCCCCTATTAAACGGGAATCAGGTCAGGCGTAGTTCAAACTACATCATCATAAGAAATCATAAGTGGTTACACATAGTATCGTTTCACTGCATCTGAATTGATTGGCTTTGGCCAACCTTCTCCGTCCATTTCTGCAAGAATAAGGGATCCTCCAGTTAGAACCCGGTGAACCATGTACGGACCTTGCCAGTTGGGAGAGAATTTCCCCTTGGCTTCATCTTGATGTGGGAATATTTTCTTCAACACCAGCTTCCTCGGTGTAAACTTCCTTGGCTTAACTCTTTTGTTGAAGGCTCTGGACATTCTGTTCTGATACAACTGACCGTGACAAACTGCATTCATCTTTTTCCCATCTATAAGGGCTAATTGCTCGTAGCGACCTTTTACCCATTCTGCGTCGTCCAACTCTGCTTCTTGTATGATCCTCAAAGAGGGAATCTCTACCTCGGCGGGGATGATCGCCTCTGTACCATAAACCAGCATGTAGGGAATTGCTTCGGTCGATGTGCGGATCGTGGTGCGGTATCCCAGTAGGGCGAATGATAATTTCTCATGCCATTGTTTGTAACTTTCGACCATCTTTCTTAATATCTTCTTGATATTCTTGTTGGCTGCCTCTACAACTCCATTCATCTGAGGCCTGTAGGCTGTAGAATTCTTGTGTTTGATCTTGAATGACTCGCATATGGCTTTCATCAAGTCGCTGTTGAGATTGGAACCATTATCAATGATGATTGATTCTGGAATCCCGAGTCGGCAAACAATACGATCACGAACGAAATCTGCCACAACTTTCTTAGTCACTGCCCTGTATGACGCTGCTTCAACCCATTTGGTAAAATAATCAATTGCCACCAGGATAAACCTGTGCCCGTTTGATGCGACAGGCTCAATAGGTCCAATAACATCCATTCCCCAGGCGGCGAATGGCCATGTTGAGCTTGTTGCAGTAAGCTCGTTTGGAGGCACCTTTATCATGTCTGCATGTATCTGACAACGATGGCATTTGCAAACATACTGGATACAGTCTGTTTCCATAGTCATCCAAATATATCCTGCTCGGAGTATCTTCTTTGCTAGGACAAAGCCATTCATGTGCGGCCCGCAGGTCCCTGCGTGCACTTCGTCCAATAGTTTGGATGCTTCTTTTGCTTCGACACACCTTAGTAAACCCAAATCGGGAGTCCTCCTATACAGGATTCCCCCACTGTGAAAGAAGTTGTTGGATAATCTCCGAAGTGTGTGCTTTTGAGTGGTGTTGGCAAGTTCTGGATATTCTCCTGTTGTCAAGTACTCCTTGCTGTCGTGGAACCATGGTTTTTCCGTCCGCTTCTTCCTCAACGTGAGCACAATAAGCTGGCTGATCATAGATCTTTACTGGGACGTGATCAATGAAATTTGTGTCTGGATGCTGGATCATGGATGATAAAGTAGCTAGTGCGTCAGCGAACTCGTTTTGGACCCTGGGGACATGTTGAAATTCCGTTTTTGTGAATCTTTTCCTTAACTCCTGTATGTGATGCAAGTAGGGGAGTATCTTGGAGTTCTTGGTTTCCCATTCTTCTCGAACCTGATGTATGAGCAAGTCTGAATCCCCGATCACTAGCAGCTCCTGAATGTTCATGTCAATGGCCATCTTGAGCCCCAGGATGCAGGCTTCGTATTCGGCCATGTTGTTGGTGCAAGGGAATCTGAGCTTGGCGGATACCGGGTAGTGCTGGCCGGTTTCTGATACTAGGACTGCTCCTAT